TTGCCTGCCTGCCTACCTACCTACCTACCTACCTACCTACCTACCTACGGTGATGAGATCAAAGTTTAAAACTATCAGTATGAATCTGTCTTTATACACATGCACTCACTTCTACCCAGTCTTCCTTGTTTATCACCATCCTATTATTTTTTTCTAGTTGTGCCAGGGAAGATGTGGATAAGGCAGCAGAAAGCTTTCCTCTGTTAGAACACCATCAAACTTAGGAGGCAGGAACTTCTTAGTTCTAATCCATATCTTGAGAACTCTAGAGAATCATGTTTTCCAGGGCTGACTACAACTGGAATGGTGTCCAGAATAATAAGGAATCTAGGAATCCTGATAGAGGAATTGGGATAGTGGAGAAATCTTACTGTTTTCACTATCCCACCACTAGAAAAACAAGGAAGGACAGTCAGGATGGGTGTATGCAGTGGGAGGATTGCATAGGGTTTGAAAAATGGGATCACCTAATCCAGTAAGTTCTTGTAGAGTTTTTGTGAATGCTCAAAATCAAATTCATATAATATAATCACATTCCATATTTTTTTAAAATAATTTAATATTTAAGGTATTGCCTGTTGAGAACTCTCAAGCAATGTCAGACTTTGAGGGAAGCTCTAATTGCTGCAGGAAAAGAGATTGTATGGCATGGGAGAACAAAAGAAGAACCAGCTCATTATTGTAGCATATGTGAGGTCAGTAAAGAAATGTGTATGCTGTGGTTTAATATTCGTTGAAATTTTTTGAAAACATATTCCTAATGCTTCTATTAAATTTCTCCTGTATTCTCTATAGATGGTGGTAATTTCAAACTCTCCCTTAGCCCATTCAATATTAGATTCTTCTGTTTGACCTAGCTGTAGCAAATTATATTTCTAGGAGTGACATTAACTATCAAAGGTTTCTATTTAACGCAAGGTGTAAAACCAGATATACACATCCTTCTGACATGTTTAAGCAGTCAGCAGTTACACATTTTACTAATTCTTCCATATAGCTTTTCATTTTTATGAGGTCAAAAACCAATTTTCTTAGGGTATTATGCAAAATTACAAATGATACAAATAATTTAATTATATAAAGTAATTTTCATTTTAGCCTTTATCCTGTAAATTCTAAGACATTTAACAGAACATGTATAAAAAGGAGCCTAACAATAATAGAACTGAACTAACAATATGAAATAGTAAAATAAGTGGGAAAATAAATGCCTTAACCTGTCACTGAAAAGAAGTAATATAGGAGATAGTCACGTGTGTGTGTGTGTGTGTGTGTGTGTGTGTGTGTATTTCCTACATCTGAGGTAAATGTAGCCAACAACAAAGAACAAAACCTTTATTGTTGAATTACAATTCCTATAGAGCAGAAGTAACAACCCATTTTGCAGGTCAAGCTCAGAGCACTACTAAACTGTATTGTTGAAATTTGACCACAGAAATAACAGATTTTGGGTGGTGCAATTATTCAGTTACTTTGCTTTTAAAAAAGTATGTGTGGGGAGAATCAACAAGGGAATTTGAGGAACCTTTGGATAATCATTTTGTTCATTGATCTCTCCCTGTCACCAAATCTGGCTGCAAGTCATCATTCAGGTCATAAACCCTGAATCCCCCCAAACTGTTTTTTTTTTTTTAATTAAAAATATACTCCCTGACTGTCCCTGCTATAAGCAAACATTCCACTATTTTATGTTGTTTCCCTTACTCACTGGAAAGACCCAGTGCTTCACTCACCTTGTGAAGTATAGGAAATTATTGCCTTTAAATCTCATGTCGTAATTCATCATGAGGCTAATCTCAGATCTGTATTCTTTGAACTGTGAAGAGCATGCTTTGATGAACAAATACAGAAACTCATCAGGTAAATCTAAAATGAAGTTCAGAAAGCTGTTCAGGCTGGTTCCTTTGCACAATTACACAAAATACCATGAGCACCACAAAATAAAAAATATTTTTTTTAAAAAAATTACATGGCCAAGATCTGGAAGGACACAGAAATCTTGTGAGTTTTGGAACATCTCATGACATTCTGACCATTTTTAGTTTTAATTTTTTTTAATTTGGGAGGGGAATGATGAGGTATCAGTGGACTCTACCTAGTAGCATTTTGGATGCTGTATTGCTGAATCCTAAGATAGAAAAATAAAATTTCCAGGATTTTTAATGTTAGAAAAAAGATTATTTTCTTCTTTTAAAAACAAAGAAGGATTTTTTAAATAGAATGCTGGTTCTATAATCTATAAATCATAGTGTTTAATATATTAAAAATAACTGTAGTTGATTCATAAATATAAGCATGTTGCTAACTTGGTAAGTGCATTACTAATACGATATTTCCACAAAATACCAGATTACTAAGAAGGCTTCTTCCTTTGTTTGTGAAAATAGCAGTACCTCCTAGAGATGCAAATACTTCTAGACTTCAGCATAGAAATTTTAATTATTCTGCATGGAGAAATCTTTCTTTGTTAAGATTTTGGAGAACATTTGGGAGGAATAAAAGGTTTTTCAGTAATTAATATTGTAAATATTTTATTCATTACTCTAAAAAAATCATAATTTTTATTTCAGTTCTCCAGTTTATTTATTTCAAGACCTCTGGTGATGGCAGAAAAAAAGTCTTATAACTAAAAGTGTAAACCTACTATAGTTAAAAAACATAGTGTTTTCAAAAAATAGAATGTTCTTATGGGCACTGATTAGAAGTTCAGTTTTGGAGGAATTGCATCACCAGAAGCTAAAAGAGGAATGCTATTAATTCAGAACATAGGTTTCTATTCTTCTTTCTCCCTCCCCATGCCCCCACAGCTCCTATTCTTCTCACTTACATGGTAATATGAGTATGAAAGTGATGCCATGTCTAGGATTAGGCTTTTCATGTATATCCTAAATTGCTGTGATTTTCCTCTCTAACTTTGCCTACTATTTTAACATTAGTTTTATCAACTTTTTGTGATCAACAGGTAGAAGTCTTCAATTTGCTTTATGTCACAAATGAGAGTAATTCTCAAAAAACCTATGTTGTAAATTGCCTAGACTGTGCACGAAAGATAAGTGGGAACCTGGAAAACTTTGTGGTGCTAGAACAATACAGAATGGAGGATCTAATGCAAATCTATGACCAGTTTACATTAGTAAGTGACAAAGATGCAAAATATTTTGAATGCATTATTGTAAATAAAACATTTTTAAGTAATGCTATTATTTTCAGAAAGCTAAAGCATTTTAGTTGTGCCAAATTAACTTGTGTCCACCTGTATTCTTTCTAGAAAGTAAATTCACTCATTGAGTGCTAAATGATGATACTGAAGATCAGCCAAACCAGTGACAGCCATACAGCCCATGACATCTCTGTCTTTTTGTTTTCTAGGAAATGGTACTAAGAGCGGCAGGGCAGTTGGGCATGTCAGGAAGAGATTGCAGGGGTGTATAGAGCTCAGAGAGTATAAATTGCAAAGTTACTTAGTTGAAGCTTCAGATATTACCATGGCTTTTACCAAGTGGTTGAAGGGAGTTGAACTCACCCCAAAGAGTGATTAGCCCTTCAGTTATTTTTTTTCTCTTAAATTCCACACATATCAAAATTGCCTTTTTTTCATTTTTAAACAGCTTGGTTCTGGTTCTGGTTCTATCAATACTCAATAAATACATAATACAACATGTTACATATTGTTCATTTAAAAAGTAAACAGAAAGATGCTTCCCTGATGGGGCTTATGATCACAAGTAGTCCTCACTTACTGGCCACTCGATCAGCAACCATTCAAAGTTACGATTGTGCTGAAAAAATAGCTTTACAGCCAATTTATGACCTTTGCAGTGCCCCTCAGTCACATGATTGCCATTACAGTCAGTACACATTGTCCTGTGCCTGACCTACATTTTTTTTCTTTCTTTCCCCCCTTGCAGAGCAGAGAGATTCGAGAGGAAGGAATTGCAAGAAAGTAAGCTGTTTGCTCTTCTGCACAATGAAAGCAGTGCAGTTGCTCCAGCAGCCCGGGGCTGGGAGCCATGGGCACACTATGCAAACAGCTTACTTTCCTGAAATCCCTTTCTCTCCAATCTCAGAGTACTGTAAGTTGTTTGCGTAGCATGCCCACAGCTCCCAGCCTGATCACATTGCTTTCTCCACTCTGCAGGAGGGGGGAAAGGTGAGGCAAACCTACAGAAATTGCTTCCTTCCCCACCCCTCACAGGGTGGAGAGATTGAAGAGGAAGGGATTGCGAGAGAGTAAGCTGTTTGCGTAGCGCGCCTGCAGCTCCCAGTCCCAGGCTGTCGGTGCAGTCACATTGCTTTTGATGAGTGCAAGACAGTAAGTAGGCACTTGAGCATTCCAAAGGGCAAAGGAGTGGTTAGGAGGCAAACAAAAGCCGAAGGTGTGAAACTGAGTACGGTAGTCTTGTCTCTTTCCATCCAGAAAGCACAGCCGTGGTCATGTGATTTCCCACTTAGCGACTGCTTCACTTAGCAGCAGAGTTTTCTCTTCATGCAGCATGAAACTGGCCTGACTGCAACCAGCTGTGCTCCCCTTTCCCCATAGAAAAATATTTCCTACAGTATTTTTAGATTCTAAATTATTCTCCAGGACCTAACTCAGCCAGTAGCCTCTTTCTCATGGAAGTAACATAACAGAAAATTAGAGAATCATGCATTCATAGATGTAAGCACTGGAAGGATTCTTGGAGATTGTCTAGCCCAACTCTACCCATTGCAAGAATGCACTATTACACCATCCCCAACAAATGGCTATCCAAATTCTTTTTAAACCCACCCCCGCCCCCCAGTGAAGGAAATCTACTACTTCTTGAAGCATCCTGTTTATTGTTGAGAAACATTTACTGTTAGGATCTTTTTTCCATGTCCAGCAAAAAACTACTACTTTGTAATTTAAACCCATTGTTTCTTATCTGTCTTTTAGAACAACTCTGCCCCATGTCGCCTTTCAGTCTTCTCATCTCCAGACTAAGCATACCCAGTTCCTCCCAACTATTCCTTACAAATTTTTCCTTCCAGTCCCCTGATCATCTTGGTGGCTTTCCTCTGGACACTCTTCAGTTTTTAATGTCTGTCCTTTATGCAGGGTCCAGAGCCATTTGCAATGTTCTGCATGAAGTCTGACCAATGCAGAACACAAAGAAAATGTGACTTCTCTTGATCTTGATAGTAAAAAGAAACTTTGTGGTTTGGCACTTGACACTTTCCTCCAACTTGACTCAGAGCAATTAGCTACAACTGTTCAGACAGCTCTATATCCAGCTCATGATAACCTAGTTCAGCCCACATTTTATCATCTTCTCTATTAAAATCTTATGAAATACTTTGCTAAAGTAGAAACATACCAAATCTTCTGCTTTACAATCAGTAGCATATGCCCACAATAATATGTTTGGGTTTGTTTTTCCCTTTGCTTGTAGTTGTATACAAATGCTTTCAGCAGGACCTCATTCTCAGATTTCTGGATTTCAATACATGCGTGCTGTTTTTTCACAAGTAACACCATTTCTTCTCCCATTTTTGTCTGTCTATTCCTTTTGAATAAGTCGTAACTTTCAATTCTTTCAATGTACTCATGAGTTTTGGCCAATCACGTTTCCGTAATGCCTGCTAAATCTTATTGGCTTCCTGGCATTATGATTTTTGTTTGTTCTCCATATTCTACATTTGTATCACTGGAATTCTTCGGTCTTGTGACTTGGCATATTCTTTCCTATATTTATGTATTCATTATTGGGCCCTTCCATATTCTGCATAACCCTTCAGTCCTGTTCTCAGTACTTTATTATTTCCCCTCTTCTCCTTCCCCCATACAATTCAGGTTATAGAACTCTGTTTGCAAAGCATCTTTCAAGTGTATTTTCCCCAGTTTTCATTAGATGGCAGTCCATCTCTTACCAGGAGTTCCTCATCTGGAAAATTTCCATTATCACCACCTGTAACTCCAGTATGCTTAGCCTCCTGGCAAGTGCTTCATAATACTTTGTAGGTGACTTTAAGGCAATGTGTGGCTATATCATTAAAGACTTTTCTTTATAGCCTGTCCAGTAAGTAAACTTTAGTCCCTCTCAGTGGGGAGTCTCCAATACTCTCAGTGGGGAGTCTCCAATACTCCCATCACTGTCTCTTCTTCAGGGCAGAAGCAAGAGCTTCAAAGCCTCTAGAGTCCTTTTTCTTAGACCTTGAATCTTGTGGCAGTTACTCTTCATCTTGGGGCCAGAAAACTTATTTATACTGAGACCCTGGAATATATTGTGAAACTTCAGAGCACAGAAGCTCTTCTTGACTGACTTGGGCCTTTCCTCCATCTCTCACTCCCATCCATTGGTTTTCTTTACTATCTTCTGGGAAGTTTGTTGATGCTGTTACCCTTCTGCAAATACTCTTTGTGTCTACTTTAAGATGTTCCTATCTTCCTTGATAAGCTGGGGGCGGGGGGTGGCCAGTTTTGTCAAATGAAAATGAAAAACAAGCTCATATCCCCTCTGGTTCAAGCACTTGACTTTAAATCCTAACTTTTTCTAATGTACTTAAGTGTAAGTTTCAGTGATTTCCACCATCACCTTTATTTATCTGGATCCTTCAAAATAATTTCCTGTAGTAATTCAGGTCATTTCTGAACTCTTAAGAATAAAATTTCAAGTAGACAGGGAACCAGAGAGGAGAGAAGCAAGAAAGCCGAGAGCTCTGTTTGTTTACACATGAGAAGTTAGGAAGATTATGGAAGTTTGAAGGATATATGTCTCTAAATGAACTGAAGCAAATGAATAAAAGTTAAAATGTCCTCTGATTCTGGGGATTAGAGAAACTGTGAACTCTTTAGAATCCTGCATTAACGCATAATCCT